CAGTTTGTGTTGCAAACTGGTTTCTGCTGCAAAGTAGTTCCTGTTGCTAAGTAGTTTGTGTTGCAGGGTGGTTTCTGTTGCAAACCGGTTTCTGTTGCAATGTAGTGGCTGTCATAAGCTGGTGTCAGTCGCCAACTGTTGTCTGTTGCAAAGTGGTTTCTGCTACAAAGTGGTTTCTGTTGCAATGTGCTTTCTGTTGCAAAGTGATGTCTGTTGCAGAGCGGTTTCTGTTGCAAAGTAGTTTTGTGTTGCAAAGTGGTTTCTGTTGCAAAGTGTTTCTGTCGCAAAGTGGTTTCTGTTGCAAAGTGGTTTCTGTTGAAAAGTGATTTCTGCTGCAAAGTCGCTTCTGTTGCAAGGTGGTTTCTATTGCAAAATGGTTTCTGTTGCAATGTGGCGTCTGTCACAAACTGGTGTCAGTCGCCAACAGGTGTCCGTTGCAAAGTGGTTTCTGTTGCAGGGTAGTTTGTGTTGCAAAGTGGTTTCTGCTGCAAAATGGTTTCTGTTGCAACATGATTTCTGTTGCAAAGTGGTTTCTGTTGCAATGTGCTTTCTGTTGCAAAGTGATGTCTGTTGCAAAGTGGTTTCTGTTGCAAAGTGGTTTCTGTTGCAAAGTGGTTTCTGTTGCAATGTGGCGTCTGTCACAAACTGGTGTCAGTCGCCTACTGGTGTCTATTGCAAAGTGGTTTCTGCTGCAAAATGGTTTCTGTTGCAAAGTGATTTCTGTTGCAAAGTGATGTCTGTTGCAAAGTAGTTTGTGTTGCAAAGTGGTTTATGTTGCAAAGTGGTATCTGCTGCAAATTGGCTTCTGTTGCAAAGTGGTTTCTGCTGCAAAGTGGCTTGTGTTGCAAAGTGGTTTCTGTTGAAAAGTGATTTCTGCTGCAAAGTGGCTTCTGTTGCAAGGTGGTTTCTGTTGCAATGTGGCTTCTGTCGTTAACCGGTATCGGTTGTCAACTGGCGTCTGTTGCAAAGTGGTTTCTGTTGCAAGGTAGTTTGTGTTGCAGAGTGGTTTCTGCTGCAAAATGGTTTCTGTTGCAAAGTGATGTCTGTTGCAGAGTGGTTTCTGTTGCAAAGTAGTTTCTTTTGCAAAGTGGTTTCTACTACAAAGTGGTTTCTGTTGCAAAGTGGTTTCTGCTGCAAAGTGGTTTTTGTTGCAAAGTGGTTTCTGTTGCAAAGTGGCTTCTGCTGCAAACTTTTGTGTGTTGCAAACCGTTTCTGTTGCAATGTGGCGTCTGTCACAAACTGGTGTCAGTCGCCTACTGGCGTCTATTGCAAAGTGGTTTCTGCTACAAAGTGGTTTCTGTTGCAATGTGCTTTCTGTTGCAAAGTGAT